AAAAGTGGCAGGCATGAAAATCAGCAGTGAAATTTCATGTAAAAATCCAGAGGGATGGAGGGCAGATGTGGTGGGGCAAAATGTAAGTGAAAACATAGTTCATCTGAAGCTGGGTGATGGTATACAGTGCATGGAAGAAGGACTGTAAAAGCATGAGAAGATACCAAGAAGACCAATTCCTCTCTGAAACTCTTGTGCTCTTTTGCCATTAGAGGACTCTCAGCTAACAAACACATCTATTCTGCAAAATATTAAAGACATCTCACTAATGAAGAGGTGTTTGAGGTGGCTTCGCCTCGCCGATGGAGAGTTGCAGCTTCAGGTGTCAGCTGCTGTGCTGCTCACTTGAAGCTCCCTGCGTAACCCATGGGGACAAATATGCAACTTTAGGAGGTGATTCACTGACCTATTTTAGGTCCTATGAGGCAGGACAGGGTGAAGGCAGATCTCAGACTGCTGGATTCAAGGCTGCTTTTAGAAGCAGTTTCACTATACCCAATAGATGTTCCAAGGCTTGTTTTGGATGCTCACAGAGATGGCTGGTGCCACCTGAGATGTAATAAAGCTTCTGAGATGTCCACATGGTCAAGCAGACGTTTCAGAGCCCCTCTTGGAGACAGATGCCCTTCTGGAGCAGCAGCCACGATATTCTTGTGTATCACAGAATCACAGATTCATAGAATGGTTCTGAGTATATCTACCTGAGGGATACTCAGGTTTGCTCTTATTCTCTCCTTATCACTTGACCTTGACGGAACAAATTCTAATAGGTGGTTGGGAAAAATAGAGGAGTGCCTGGAAGAAAGTGAGGAGTGCTGTGTAGCAGGGAAGTTACCTGTCTATGGTGGGAATGGTCTGCACTTTAGTGACATCTGCACTTACAGCTACTCAGCTTTGAAGCTAACCCACAGAAAGAAATAAAGATGGACAAAACAGTGGCATCTGTGCCTAAGGTAAATCTGTTGCCCTGCCCTGCTTTTCTGGGCTAAATGTGCTACATTATTGATGATGAGCTTTAGATGGCCCTCTGTGCCCCATGGGCTAATGACTAAAGGGGTGGAAGAGATCCCGCAGGGAAGGGTCTTTCTGAAGGGTGGCTGTCCCCTCTCACTCCTCTGGAAAAAGACAAGCCCAACAATATGGTGAAATAAACTACTCTGAGAATCTGTTATGTTATTTTATTTTATTCTGTTTTGTTTTGTTTTGTTTTATTTTATTTTTTAAATATATTTCCTTTGGGTTTTAAGTTGTTTGCAAAGAAGTGGCTGCCTGTGAGGAGTTTTGCTGGGAGACGGGACATGGGGCTGGGGCTGGGGCAGTAGAGCAGAGGCCCTGGCACAGGGAGGGCTGTGAGGACCAACCTTTCACTGGTTTGCTTTGCTCTTTGTGCCAAGAAAAACCCAGCACTGGGCCTGAGGCGTCTCAGCTATTTGCATCAAAATGATCTGACAGTTCCTCTTGAAATGAGATGGTTTGAACAAGTCTGTGGTTTCCAGCCCAGGTATTTGAATCATGTCCTTGATCCTGGAAGCTGAAACACTGGGCTGTTGGTCTCTAAACGTTTACAGTTTCTCAGATGGTGTTCTTGGTCTAAAGTTTTATTCCTATCCCAAGTCAACCCTGGGAACAATTTTTTCTCTTCCAATCAACATGGATTTGCATGTGGCTGATCTACATGAGTTTCAAATGTGGAAGACAGAGGGATAATTAGATTAGAAAGTAATATATTTTTACTCCTTCTTTGAGAGCCTGTGTGGTGAGACTGCAGAGTAATCAATAGAAAAATTCAACAAATGTTTTTTCATTATGCCTGTGTGAGTTTATGACCATTAATTATTTAAGATTGATAGAGAAGACATACTGATAAGTAGAAAGAAAGAAAGAGAGAAAGAGAGAGAAAGAAAGAAAAGAAAAGGAAATAAAGAAGGAAGGAAAGAAGGAAAGGAAGAAAGAAAGGAAGAAAGAAGACTAGAGATTAAAGACAGATATAGAAAAATATTATGAGTTCCTCAGTTTTACTAAATTCTTCATGCATACAATATACAAAACATTTCAGAAACAAAATGTCACTTCCTTTTTTAGGAGATTTCCCTGAAATAATTACTTCCATTTTGGAAAAAAAAAAAGCCCACATAAACAACAACAACAAAACCCCTTAAAATCTGTAGTAATCCCAATTCTGAAACATGATATCTTTATTCCACCCAACTCTGTCCAAGTCAAATTTGTTCTTAGTGGTATTATGCAGCCCTTTGCTTCTGAAGCCCACCAGAAAAGCCTGGGTTTGCAGGTATCGCCGCAGTTCTTGATGAGAGGAGCTGCTCCTGTTGCAATGTGCTGGCTGGATCCCAGAGAAGGGTCTTGTGGTACTTCAGGCTTTGACTCATGTAAAAGGTGAATGAAGTGATCCAAAAACCCACAAGCTGAAAGATTTCACCAAATTTTAGCCACCTTTATGCATCTTGGCTAAGTGAAGTTTTAGCTTCCTTGTGTTTGCAAGAGACAGGCATTTGCCTTGGTCACCCAGACCTCTGTGTTGGTAGCTCCATCTGAGATACTTGGGTCTCTAGACATCTGTGAGTGGCTCTCAGGTGTGACAGAGGACATGTGCCACCTTGCATCTGGAGGTCGGGCAGGATGCTTGGCTGCATTACAAATGTCACCAAATGCTCCCGTCTAGGGTAGACACTGGATCTTCATAGAATCATAGAATGCTTTGGGTTGTAAAGGACTGTAAGATCATCTAGTTCCAACCCCCAAATCCAATTCTGATCTTGTTCAGAAAGGCAATGCCTCCCATCTTGCCTTAGACATCTCTTTCAGTGTGGGCTGGGGGAAAGCTACCTCTCCTATGGACAATGTAGCTTGATGCCTGTCCGAGGAAAGACTGCTTTTCAGTGGTTCAAGTTAGATACTTTACTTTCTGTGTTATTCCGTGTCTCTTCCTACAGGAGCTAATTTGAAGTCACGAGTCCTTTAGGTCACACAGATCAAGACAGAAAATAACTTCAGAATAACAATATTTAATATTTATATATCAGTGAGGCCAGTGATTGCCCAGTTGGCAGAACAGAGGGTGTCCCTGTAAGCGTGCAAATGTGACACTAAACATCCTCAGGGCAGGACAGCTTGGAGCAAACACACGACAGCAGTACGGTGCATGTACTGTTCTGTGCTGGAGGTGGTGTGTGCCAGCGGGTACTGCTCCCTCTCCCAGTGCTGGCACAGCCCAAACTGCATCTAACATTGAGATGAGAGTCAGGGAGACAAGACTAAAGGATGAGGGCAGGGCTGGTGTTCAGGGACCATGAAGAGCTCATAGAGCCCCTCTGCTGATGAAGGAGTCTCCGCCTGACTACATGGTGAATATCCTCACTTCTAGCTGCACCCTTAAGTCTTTTCCTGGTTGAATCAGTTGGCTTTATTTTGATGTCTGCTTTATGTCGTAGCACTGCCCAGGCTTCACTGCTGACAATAGACATGAGCTATTTAAGCCACCTGACAGATTTGGATGCTCCTAGCTGTGATTGCAAACTTTGACAAGTCTTATGCATTTCTTTTGTTACAGAATGTACTTTTAAGTTTTATAGGTCAAATTTTGTGCTTTAGGGGTGAAGCGATGCTCCAAGGAAGTATACCTGTGCTCCTCACCTAGTGTAGCTGACATTTTCTTCTTTATTTTATGTGAAGGGGACACTTACACAAAGCATTTTATGTGCCACATTAGAGGACAGCACAAACAGCCATGTGTGTCTGCACCAATTGTGCTCAAATAACTTGCTCCCGTGCTACAATGCAGAAATATGAACAACTTTTGACTGAGAAAACATCAGTGTTTCTCTTTGAAAAAGAGACTCCAAGTGCTTTGACTACATTCAGATTTTCACAACTGCGTACGTGCATTCTGGATGGATAAAGGTTCTCTTACAGTTTGGCTGACTCAGGGAAGGCAGTGGCATGCCCAAGAATCAACCTTTGAGGAAGTCACCGAAATGATGGGGTTTCTGAAATTTGCCAGTCATGGACGTCAGCATTAAGGGCTTGATCTTGAGTGATGATGGGGAATTACACAGTTCCCGGTTGGGATTACTGGTGCTGTAACACCAAGACTGATGCAATTTGTTGCCTTTCAGATTGTATCTCTTATTTGCTACCAAGCTGCACGTAATTACTACCTTTATCAATTTAATGTTTATCTTTACCAGTTAATTGCTTTGTCCATGTGATCTATTCTAGAACAGCCCTTTGTGGAAATTAGTGAAGTTCCTATGGAGTCTCCTGTGGGTATAACTGGTGGTGAGGTTCTCCCCTCTTTCATTAAGCCAGACATTTCTAAACTCTTGCTGCAAACCCTATGGTCTGTATAGACTCAAATGCCACATCTCTCAGATGCTCCTGAAGAACTGATTTAGGAGTGCACTGGACTTTGTCAAACATGTCAGCAAGCTATTGAATGGGCACAGGGGGATTTGGCTCCAGAGTGGCTGAAAACTGTGCTTCAGTTGCCTCTGTGGTGTCACATATGCCACCCAATATATTCCATGCACGTCCTAATTTAAATCTGGAAATGTCCAGTTAGCAAGTTAATGGTAACAGACAAGGTGAGCTTATGGTGGGATCTGGGGAGGACGGGAGGTTATTTACATCCAGCCAGAGAGCTCCTGGTGCAGCTGATAAATGTGTGCATTAACAACAGATCAGTTTCCCATATACACAAGAGGGCAAGTGGAGAGATTTATTTGGGAACTGTTGTGTTTTATGTGCGAGTATGGCAGTGAGGACCAGACAGATTGGTGGTTTTGCCAATACCTACTGAGATCTAGTAGATATATTTAGAGAGATGAAAAGCTGGAGTCTCAGGTCTGAGTGATCCAGACCTTTTCCACCCTGACTTCTTTACAAAAAATTCATTTTCCCCCATGAAACTTTTGACATTTTAGGCTTTCTTTGTTGTCTCCCCATAAATACAGCACAGCACTATCCTTATCGTATGTGAATCAGCAGCTCACTGCTTGTCTTGTCATTCCCTGTAGATCATTCACATTCCAGAAATATTTGTCTGAAAGGCAATGAATGAAAGATGATTAATTAATATTCTAGGGGGTATCAGACTTACTGCAAGCATTTTGTGCAATGGAAATAAACAGTGAAAAGAAAGCAACGGTGATAAATGAAACTTAAAAGACTTCTTTAATTCTGTAAAATGACATTTTTACTGCTCTTGACCCCTCTACTTCTCATCCCTCTCTCTTACAGAAGCCAGGGGTCATTACCCTTCGTCCAAAAGGCTTCTTGAATGGGAACACAACCATGCAACCAAGTATGTTGCATCACACTGCTCCGCTGTTCTGAAATATCTGAGGACCAAGTTATCCCTGACTACAGTGTGATGGAGAGAGAGACAGTGTGCATCTGTACTGCCTCAGCTCCCTGGAGGAGCTCATTCAGGGGCTGTGCTGACCTCTCTGGTCATATACCATTACCAGAGCCTGAAAAACAAAAAGTGGTAAAAATATAAAGTACTCCGATACCTTTTCCTGCATACCAACCTTTCTTTTCCTCATACATGTGCCACATATGAAGCCAGTGAGTCCGTTGATGACTTGAATAAAACAAAGAATAGCTTCAATCACACCAATGGCCAGGAGAATAGAGAAAAGGGTGATATTCCAAAGGATGATGTTTTCAGGTTCTTTGCAAATGCTCCATGTTGTCTGATTGAACAAATAATTGCCTCTGTGATAGAGAAAATTAATTGGCAAGGTATTAGAAAGTATGAATTTGAGAATGTTTTCTGTGTTTCCTGGTATGACACTTTCTGAACTTGATTGCACAAAATGAGTCTCAAATTCTACTATAATTGGTAAAAGCTGGTGATTCTCTTCAGAATTCTCTTTGCAGAGGTGCAAAGTGAGACACATCTGTACTTTGTTGCATGCAAGAGAATCTCCCTTTTGTTTCATGGTAGTGTTAGTAACTAAAAGGAAGGGACCATAATGATTTTAAAGCATCTCTCCATATTCTCCACTTCCTGCTGTGCTATCTCAGCCCAGTCTATCCATAACCTCTACCTCTGGCTTGAAGAGAATGGTTGCCAAGGTTAACTTTAAAGATTCAGAGAAGATTTTTGCTTTGCTTTTCAGAAGCTGTTAGACTAATTCATGATGATTTAACAGATTAATGTGACATACCTATCAAACATTTCCTTTTGACTCCAATGGGAGTCACAGCTCAGCAGCCTTTTGAAAGTCTGGTGCAACTTGCACAAGGGGCTGCTGACAAGCACCGCAAAAGAAACTCAGGCAGCTTTCTCAGAGATGACTCCTTGGTCAAAGAGGTGACCAGCTGGAACACACTACTCAGAGAAATGTGAATTTAAGTGTAGACAGGGTGGACCACCAGTTCGTGTTGGGAAAATCATAACGTGATATAGAAAGATGTGGGGGGAGTTAGGGAAGGCAGAGTTGGAGGAGTTAAGGTTGGTAAGTCGTACTCACTCCAGAGTGTCATTCCTGAAAGGATAGAGGTATTCTCCATCACCTGTGTCACACAGAGGGCCCCCAATCAGCCCCAGTGAGGAGATGACCACACAATATGCTCCTCCGGCAAATCCCAGCACAGCCAGGACCACTGACAGCAGCATCTGAAAGGGAAAAGACCTTCAGCATCACATGCACAGAGGCTTGAGTAGCACGGAAATTTTACACTGAATGGGAAGGAATTGTCTTTATCTGTTTCTTACTGTGTGCTGAAACTCATAGTAATAGCATGATATTCGTGAGGATAAAAATCAGCTGACTTTGCTGGACTGCATAGCTATCCTAGATGCTAAAGGATTTCAGACTGTATTTGCTTTGCTTTGTTTTTAGAAGTGGCTAAGCCCAGAGCTTTACTTCTTCAGAGATTCACATTTGACCCATCAATTATGAAAAATCTGGTGGGACTTCTTTCAAAAAGCCAGTAAGAAGCCAGTACTGGCTTGAGATGGTCCATATCATGTGCCTTGGCACTTCCATCTCTTCACCAAGAGCACCTTTCTCAGCCCTTGTACCAACAGAAACTAGAAAGCAGCTACTGAACCATGTATGAAAGTGACAGAAGATGCATTAATTGTTTTTGTTAATTGATGAGGAATGTAAAAAAAGCCTTCTTCATTGCTGCTTTTTTTAATTTTGCAACGGCCTGACGTGGTTACCACTGCTCGTGTTGAGAAATCTAATTGTGCTGCATGTGGCAACGAACCATCAGTGACTTCGAATTACATGTAATGTACCTGTACTTTTTACATTGGCCACTCCCACAGAAACGTTACCTTTACTCAGTCTTCTATCAATGGATGGGTTGTACCCCATTGCTGTTTGTATACAGCAACAAGAATGTCAGGAGGGTACTACTGTGGTGTATTTGGGACAGGCTTCCCACTAGTCTTGTTGAGAGTCACTGCTTGTGGTTGTTCACAACCCTGCCAAGAAGGAGTAGAGAGGAGAAACCCTGGAGGAGACTGAGAGAGCCAGGGCAAGGCTTGGACTAGGGCAAGGCAGTGAGACTGCCTCAGAGTCAGGGCAGAGGCACAGCTGAGGAAGCGCATGGGAAACATTCCTGTCCATGACTTGGGTTTGAAGCCAAATACCACAGGCCTCACATTTCCCTGTTGCCAGCAAATACCAGTGGAATCTAACAGCCCACAAGGAAGGTAGAAACCTTCCCCTAATGGAGCTCTGCACTAGAGTCAAATGGAAATGTCCACCATCCATGGTGGAGATTTGTGACATAGTCTTGAAAACTATTCACTGTCTAAACATGTTCAAGCTAGTGAATGCAGTTTCCAACTTGCAGCTGATGACTGCTTCCTATAAAACTTTGTTTGCTGTTGGTGTGTGAATTGACTCATTTTGTGTGTTGTTTTGCCTCTAAAGCAATCATTGAGTTAGAAGTTGCTGGGATTTCTCATGAGATTTATTTAATCATTACTGATTAATAAGTCAGTCCTTTTTCTGCTAAGGTGGATACTCTTTCTGTCTTTATCAGTGTGCTGGCTGACTTGCCTCTTAGCAGAGCTTCATTGTCAGCAAATATAGGTAATTTAGTATATTGTCCTGGATCAAAGCAGTGCCTGGGTTGTAGCTGATGCACTGTCTCATAATAAGATCACCAGCCATGTCTTGCGGTGAAGGTGAGTGAGATACTCTGAAACTCCTACCTATGCTGAACCCCTTCTCCTCATCTGTTTTCTCATTTATTTCAGTTGTGCATTCTGCATCTTGGTTGAAGGATCTTAATTACGCTAACAACTAGTTGTAGCACAGCATAGCAGTATGGGGCATCCTAAAGATAATTATGATAGTAAAAGTCAAATGGTCTTTTGCTATTACTGTGTTTTATGACAGTGATTAGTACTAGTAGTATTCATCAGTGTTATCTTTGATGACTGTTCTCTGACACATGATTTTCTCATCTGAAACCTGTTGACTGTATGACTAACTTCATCTCATCTATTTCGCTTACCGTGTGCACAATCATATAGACAAGGACTTCACCGTAGCTGTTAGATTACCTTTCCTCAGCATTTTCTAGACATGCAGTGGTATTTCCCCCTTATATCTATTGTTCTGAGAATTTTCTGGAGGCTTGCCCCATAATCCGTGGAAATACAAGAATTTTATTAACTATCTCATCATCTCAACCTTTCAGCATTTTCCCTATTGTGCTTTTTTTTTTCCTTCATGTTTTTATTTCCCCATCTGTGTCCTCAGTTGCAACATAAGGTCTAAGATGGGATGCTTGAGTTTGTTGAAATTAGTTTCCCATGGGAAACACCATGGTCTGATCTTCTTTTAATGTTTTCCCTGCTTTATCCTTCACACAATTGGATTGTCTCTGGTGAGATGAGGAAGTCTTTTAGCATTTATTCTTTGAGCATTTGCATCAGCTGCTTTGGTGAAGTTATCAAGTTCCTTGTGTCCCAGCTTGTGTTCCTCTTTATTGCCCTGGTTCTTGTTTCATGCACATTTCTTCCCTGTTTCTGTCTCTGGAAGTGTTTGTTTTGGTTTGGGTTTTTGGGGTATTTTTTAATTAATATTCTGTCTGGTTATCCAGATATCTCTGCTTATCTAGGTTTCTTTGTCTGGGAAACTGCTATGGCTATGCTTTTCTACTAGTAACTCTTAAGGAAGGCTTAAAGAGACATACTGGAGTATGTTTGCAGATGCAGTGACAGAAGCTGCATTTTGGGGGACCTTTTGTCCTCAATGTGCCGGTGCAGTGGATGCTTTCAGATGCATTCATCCTAAGCTGCAAGACATGGAAGCTTTGTAAATCTGCTACTTTCCAAAGTCATTACTTGCATTATGCAAGGACAAGAAGCCATCCAGGTATGTTTGTAGGCAACAATTTGAAATGGATTAATGAAAAAACTTACTCAATGCAGCACATAATCACTGGGAACTGGAGAACTCAATAAAGAGAATAAAAAGGATGAGAAATATAATAATTATTATTGCTGTTGTTGATACTTCAGAAGAAGGTAAAGGCTTTGATGAAGTCTGAAACTATTAAACCAGGAATTGTGCAAAATATAATAGGATTGAGTCCCTACCCTGAGGGAAATGGTAATGTTCTGATTGAATAATAATTCTAATCAGTATTAGTTCTCTAGCTTTTTTTCTTTTCCCGTATGAAAAGCAATGCTGAGTATTCAGTATAAATGATCATTTTACACCTGAGGTCCCCAAAGCAGAAAGGTGGCCAAACAAGCCTTTGGATTACAGAGGCTCCTGAGTAGCTCCAGTGTGGGCTAGTTCCCTGACAATACATGGAAGGTGGTGGACACACCACTAAGAGCCTGGTGACTCACACTATACATACCCTGCCTTGGGTGTACAGCCTATAGTCAGAGCATCTGAGCAACTCTGCTGTGAGTGTCTGTACATTTCCTCCCACTATCCCCAGAGCAAAGTTTCCTGAGGTTTCTTCTCCTGAAGAAGCACATTATTAGCCTTCAGATCTCCCTGCAATACACACCTCTTTTGCATGCTTGGAAATCACTTTTCCCCAGGAGCTGTGCAGGGGAAACTATTGTTTTAAATGCCATTCATAGCCACTTGCTCTTTGCTCATGTCCCCAACTCATCTCTACTTTGAGCCACATTCTGTTTAAAACAGGGTGACTTGTAAAGCTTCACCCCTTTCCACCTCAGAGAGGTGGGAAATTCCCACAGTCTCAGAAGACAGCGTTTTCAGAGATGCACTGTCCCCACCGAGCCTGTTCTCTAGTAGTACTACCCTATTCTTGAGTATTAGTAGCTACTCTATTCTTGAGTAGCTTCATCACTTGGCCATCAGCTAATTCTCTTTATACAAATATCATAGCACGTAATCATAGAGTCATAGAGTGGTTTGGGTTGGAAGGGACCGTAAAGATCATCTAGTTCCATCCCCCCCTGCCACGAGCAGGAACACCTTCCACTAGACCAGGTTGATCAAAGCTCCATCCAATAATCAAACTGCCTTCTCAACAATGCCTATTGTATTCCTCTATAACAGCAAATAAGGAAGAGGAGGAACAGCTTGTAAGTAACCGATCAGTGATGGGAAGGTGCAGACAGGATACCTTGGTATCTACGTGCTGCTGCCAGGAATGGCTTAGACAGTGAAAGGGTGATGGAGGGGAATGGAGGAGAGTGGGGGTTCTGTGGATGTGGGCTACTGGGTGGCACTGTGCTACCACCTGAATTAGTGGGGAGTGAACCCAGCCACTCTGGGGAAGTTTGGCTCTTGGCTCTGTAATATTTAGCGCTGGGATGAAGGGCAGAGAATGGAGACCTGAGATGCCATCTGAACTGAGCCCAGTTCAGCTGGATTCCCCGTCGTGACTTACCATGTTCACCAGTGTGGGAACACCCACAGTATGCCTGTTTTCACCAGTGTATGCCTGTTTTCACCAGTGTATGCCTGTTTTCACCACTATGGCTGTCTCCACCACCTCACTCAGAATGAGGAGAAGCAGCTGGCTCAGGCACCGGGTTCAAGGTGCCTAGACTCAAGCCCAGCTCTGCAACTGCCGACTTGGCTGTTGTTAGCATCTTTTTTGTGCACATGACCTTGGGTAAAATCAATGTAGCGGCATGTCCCTTGGAATGTATTTATTGACATTAATGAAAAATGTTATTTTGGCATTATGAATAATTAATTACTTAAGTAAAACATCTTGAAGAGGTAAAGGTCTTCTCATGGATGAAACTAAACATTAATTGAGGAGTGCGGAAGAGACATGCTTTGTTGTATGGAATCTCTCATTCCAGGCTGCTTCTGGGAAGGATGCAGACTAAAAAAAACCATTTCTAAATCAACTTATTTTTGCTAATAATGATATCCACATAGAAGCCTGTGCCCAGGGCACGAGGATTAGCAGAGATGCCTGTGTACAACACATTGCTTTATAATATTCTTAATTATGAAGGAAAAAAGTCTCTCTGGCTTTTCTCTGGATGGCAGAAAGCCCAAATTGCATTTGCATCTTTCATGTACATTGTGCTCAGAAAAATGTGTGCTACAGGTCACAGCTGTAGGAAGCAGCACTGGCTCCTTGGTACCAGCCACAGCAGCTCAGGCTTTTAGCATGGGCCTGCAAAATAGGGGACCTATCTGCCCTTACAAAGGTAGGCAGGGATTGAACGTGTGGAAAAGCAAATTGCCATGGAAGGGTATGGAGGAAACAGGGTCAGTTGGAAGCAGAAAGAACAGGCAGCTGTTTCAGTGTTTAGGGGTGCCTTGAGCAGGAGGAAGCTGGAGCCAGATTTCACTTAATGTGGGATGAAGTAAAGTAGCTTTGTACCCCTCTGCCCTCAGTGTTGTGCCTAAATGCTCCAGCACCTGCCCCAGCTGAGTATGACTTCCCTCCTATCAGTGGCTATCATAACATTCTTGTTGGCTAACTGAGCTCTCAGCCCCAGCCCAGGGACGCTGTAGATCAAGCTCCTCTTCTGCATTTCCCTGACATGGTTGTTGATTGTGGTGCCATGGTTTGTCATTGTACATTTCCACCTGCTGAGCAGCCATTTAAGATCTATTGCACAAACCCTGTAGCTCCATTTCAACACTTAAACATCCACTTACCCCACATCTGTTAGCGCAACATCCTGCTCCGCCTGCTCCCAGCATCATGAATGCTGGTAAAATAACCTGTGAGAAAAGAACAAGCTGAATTGGTGTGCAGTACTTCTGCTGGGACGGGTTTTAAAGTCTAGGAGCTGGGGCATCATGTTCCTCAAACGCAAACCACCTTCTGCCTCTTCTTTGTGAGTTACACTTGCTTAGACGTTGGTGCTTGCTGAAGAGAAGCTGTAACCCACATCTAGAGCTGGCTAGCAAGTTCCTGGTACAGTGACTCTGATTGCTGAAGCTCTGCTGCTTCTTTTCAGTAGGGGTTTGGTTTGGGTTTTTTTTTCCACGAATAAATGTATCTCAGAAATTCTCAAAAATGAAATTTCTGTTTGGAAAAGATGCATCAGTGCAGTAAGAACTAAGTTTAAATTTTCTGAGCATCCTGCTCCGGATTACAATTGAGAAATCAGTCTCAAACTTCCTGAAACACATCTGACTCTGGATCTTTGTGCTAAGCTTCTGGAAAACCTACAAAATGGACTTCTCTAAACAGGGAACTCCCAGTTAACATCAGCTTTCTCCATGGCAATTATCAGGTGGAGCTGGAGTGATATGACGAAGTCGGTAGCCATCTGTGTCTCAGGGTATAATGTCACCTTACAGAAGCACTCTGGAGATAGGAAAAGCTGCATTTAGCTTGGTAGCTAGAGGGCAAGGAAGCTTCTGTGGGTCTAGCTGTGCAGCCAGAA